AACTTGCCGTAAATAACATAGCAAAGTTACGACATTATAGCCGTAACTTTACTTATTATTTACTATAGTTACGGCATATAACAACTATTATTCAACTTCATTGGGACGATTCTACGGCATCACCAATAGTAACCTAGTGATCATAATGGCAGTAGGTTCCTTAGTTCTCAGACCAAATCTTTACGGCATCTTTTAAGTAGCCTTAATCTTTGTTGTGTTTTAGGCTGCTAGACCTAGTAAACCTCCAATTCGCACTTCTATAACGTATATAACCATCCCAAAATGTCGCTAAAACTCTCATTAAACACCAAAAATGTTAGTATTAAGCAAAAAAAAAAAAAACACCTATTAATCTCCCACGTTCCAGTTATTCGATTACAACTTTAAAGAAAATGAGACCTGCAAAAAAAGAAGAAATGATTAATCCTAACGAACAGATTAAAAAATAGATACGCACAAAACCTTTAATACCAACAAGCTCCTAAAAACAACCTATACAGAAACCTAACCCTATAAAAAAATGTTGATCTGTATTTATTATTTCATGTTTTTTCATGAATGTTTCGTTTTCATAGAATTTATAACCTTAAATCATGGAAATTTTCATCTCCCAAATACAGATATCTGTAAATGTATCATTTTCATAGAATTTTTACGGAGGCCACAGAGAAATAATAGGAATATTCAGATAAAAATTTTTATAGGGTGAATATCTTAATGCGCAGTAACTACATAGTAACGATGTAGTAACTATATAGTTACTATTAAATTTAATAGTAACTATATAGTTACTACATCATTACCATGTAGTTACTATGTATTAATATATTCAAGTTTCTGTAAAAACGATACTTGAACGCGACGACACTTGAATAGACAACAGTAAATCTGATTATGACAATACGACATCTGAAATTAATGAAACTTCAAATGACGACAAAAAAAATTGGTTAGTAAAGAGTAAAAACGAAAATAAACTGATGCAAATAAAAAACCTATCCATATATAATATCAATCCATATAACCTGCGACATCACGATTAACAATATTCTAAATAGAATTTTAACCGATTTTAGAAAAAATCGATCAACTAGGAAGAAAAATCGGCATAGCCGATTTATACGTTATTGTTATAGATTGATTTACTTCGCACTTGCTCACGTGATTTGTAGTTTACTAAAATGCAAGCCTTTATACTTTCTGTTAGTAATAACTTATATTCTTTTTTGACATCTTTTTTATACAAAGCTATTTCCACTAGTAAAATTTAAAAGATTCACCATGTTGAATAGTATGATTCGAATGTCATTCAAACTGCCATTTGAATTGCCATACAACACTATCACATGATTTCATGAACATTCATGTTCGTGAAGTCGTGAAATATTGTTGAATAGCAGTTTGAATAGCATTCGAATCGTGCTATTCTATATGGTTAATTGTTAGCTCTTGGTTTTTACTACTTTACAGAAACTTGAATATCTTAATACACAGTAACTACATAGTGACTATATAATTTAATAGTAACTATATAGTTACTACATCGTTATCACATCGTTACTATATAGTTTACTGTGCATTAAATATTCAGGTTTCTGTATAGTAGTTCCTTTCTATTATTTTGTATAGCTAAAATATTCAACCGGGTAAAATTCACCACCCAAATTTTTTTCAGATTACGCGATATGATTTATTGAGTATCGTTATTCTAACTTAGAATAATGTAATGAACTGATGCTTTTTTAAAATCATATCGCATGATCTGAAACAAATTTGGGTGGTGAATTTTACCCGGTTACTAATAGTCGATTACAGCTGTTTTCATAATTCTTGGGACATCTGTAAAAAATTAGCCAGGTGATTTTTCAGCTGATCCGTTATTATTTCGATATAATAGATTCAGTAAAAGTTGGTATATACATAAGTATGTATGTATATACATATAACTATTATGTACATATGTTATGTATCTGTTATAATTATTGCACAGATATTTAGTAAAGTAGTAATGTACGGCAGTCCAAATTTGGACAGACATACGAAAATTATACCAACTTTTAATCATATGTACGGTTAATAAAGACTTGCAAGTTTCACTTTTTATAAATCGCTTTTTGATGGTTAGGGTTATGGTAAGCGCTAGTATTGTCCTTTTTTTATGTTAGGATTATAGGAAAAGTATTTTGGGTTTTACGACTTTTTTCTTTTACAACTGTACGTACTATCATAATTTCTACACGTCCATCCTAATTTACGTTTCTGTACTGTACTACTTTACTATATACCCAATAAAAAATCGGACTGTACTTACATACGTATAACAGTTATACGTACGTACGTAACAATTTTTATTGAATCTATTATACCGAAATCATAATTTAATCGGATTGGCCGAAAAATCATTCGAAAACTTTTGCATAATGAATAATTTTTGCATGATGAATAATTTTGCATAAAAAATTTTTTGGTAATTTTTATGACGAAACTTTTTGGAATTTATTTTTTAAAAGAAATTTTTTTCTTTATTTTATAAATTTTTTTTTTTCAAAATATTACTTTCTAAAAAAAAAAAAAATGAATTCTAAAAAACGATGAACTCCTTCTTGAACCGAATCATTTTCCTCAACCCATCCTATCCAACAACCTCAATCATCAACCTACCCAGTTTAACAATTCCAATCATTGCCCCAGCCTGTTCAACAGCTCGTTCAACAGCCCATTCAGCAGCCCGTTTAACAGCCCGTTTAGCAGCCCGTTCAACAGCCCATTCAACAGCCCATTCAACAATTTCAATCTTCATCCCAGCCTGTTCAACTGCCACCTGTTCAACTGCCGCCCGTTCAATAATTTCAATCTTTACTCCAGTCCATTCAACTGCCCGTTCAATGGCAATCCTACCCTGTCCAACCCATTCAATCAACTTCTCAACCTGTTCAACTGTTCCAATCCTCTGTTCAACAACTCTGGTCCTGGTCCCAGTCTCAACCCATCCGACCTCAACTACAATCTCAACCACAACCTCAACCACAATCTCAACCACAATCTCAACCACAATCTCAACCACAATCTCAACCAGTTTCGCAACCAGTATCATATGAAATTCAAAGT